GAAAGGGCAGTCGGGCACTGGTGGCTCATGCCTGTGATCCTAGCTACTCCAGAGGCTGAGATCTGAGGATCATGGTTCAAAGCCAACCCAGGCAAAACAGACCCTGAGACTCTTATCTCCAATAAACCACTCAGAAAACCGGAAGTGGTACTGTGGCTCAAGTGGTAGAGCGCTTGCCTTGAGCTGAAGAGCTGAGAGACAGCGCCCAGGCCCAGAGTTCAGGCCCCACGACAAAGGAAGGAAAGAAGGGAGGAAGGGCGGGCAAGGGCTAGAATAATGTTGATGTTTTAGTGGCATCTGCAAGTCCTCAGAAATAATGCCACTTTGGGGGATTTTTTAAGAGTCATCCCAGCATTTTGACAAAACTTGGCGGGGGCATGGGCAAGTTTCCCAGATCCACCAGTGGCTGGTTGGAGGGAGGGAGGGAGGAGCATGGGTTGGGCTCTCTCTAAATCAGGCTTGGAAACTCCTGTGGATGCCCTCACCCAAGAGGAACATAGACTAATTCCACAAGTGAGGCCAATTCGAGGCCATCTCTTCTCTGTCTGGAGTTGTACAGTTGGAGAGCCACAGGGGACAGGCATTCCTGCAGAAGTTGAGCTTTCCTTTGGCCCCTGAATCAACAGGATGTGGTCATGACTCGACTCCTTTCTTCAAGATGCCCCATGGCCAATTATTTTATTTTGAGAGGGTAACAGGGACCTTAACTACTCAAAGTAACCTACCAACTCCTCTGGGTATCATCATCCTCAGTTGCAAAGAGGGGGAGGAGGGCAGCCTACATAACGTGTCCAAGCTCTCTCCAACTCACCTTGTGATGGTGGTGTTCCTGACCTTTCCAAAATCCAAGCTGATGGGGGGAGGGGAGAGGGTAGTGGCTCACGCCTGTAATCCTAGCTAGTCAGGAGGCTGAGATTTCAGGACTGCAGTTGAAAGCTAGCCCCAGCAGAAAAGTTCACGAAACTTTTATCCAAGCTGTAATGATGGTGCAGACATGCCTGCGGGCTTGGACTCTGCAGGGTCTTCTGCTGCACACTCAGACACGTGTGAGTTAAACCCTGTGCTTCATCCACACCCAGCCAACAGCAACCCAGCTTGTTCCCAGTCTCTTGGTGCTCTGTAGGAGCTCAGATGCAGCTCAGTTCCCTTCTCAGCTCCTTATTCATTGCCATCAGTTGTATCCTAAGGAAAGAAAGGAACAGTTTTCTAAGAAAGTGAATGAAACTAAGCTTTGAAAGAGACCTGGAATCACTGCTTCTGTCAGAGCAGTGAGAATCATCACTAGGGTGGGCACAGGCCCAGAAGGGCCAGCAGGGCCCCTGTATTTCTAGGCAGAGCAACCTGTGACTTTGTGTTCCAAAATATCAGTCTGTGAGTATGTCCCTGCAGGAGACATTCTCTTCAGCTAGCCTTTTTCTTTTTTCTTTTCTTTTTTTTTTTTTTTTAGCTCTGGTGACTGGGAAGATGAATGAACATTTGTTGAATGTTACAAACACACTCTTACACTGAGCAAGTGTTTTTGCAGCCCTGTGTCTTAACAAGGTGACTGAATGACTAGAGATAAGGACGGTGGGGGGAGGGGGAGGGCCCTTTCCACGGCCTTTATTGCTTTCATGGATCCCTCGGCTCCCCTGGGACCTGTTCAGGGTGGTGGCTCCCTTGCTTTCACCCAAGGGCACCAAAGGATTGTCTCAGTAATATAAAAGCCATAGACTATTTGGCTTCATGACTGAATGGACCTCCATCAATCCCAGATGCTCCTGGACTGCACCCTGGTCAGCATGGAGGTGAGGCCCCAGGGCCCCAGGCACTGACACAGGACACACGGGGTCCTGAGGTCCAGTTCTTCATGACATTATTTGCCTGAAGCATTTCACAGTGTGCTCGGTAAAGAGCCAGCTGGATGTTCTGCTGGGTGGGCAGCCAGCAGGAGCCAAGTCAGGGAGCCTTTGTCCCTTAGGTTTATTTTGTTTTATTTTATTTTTTGTGGTCATGATGGGCTTGAACTCAGGGCTAGGCACTGTCCCTCAGCTCTTCAGCTCAAGGCTAGTGCTCTATCATTTGAGCCACAGCACCACTTCTGGTTTTCTGGTGGTTTATTGGAGATAAGAGTCTCATAGAGGGGCTGGAAAGGTGGCTCAGTGGTAGAGTGCTAGCCTTGAGCTGAAGAGCTGAGGGACAGCGCCCAGGCCCACAGTTCAGGCCCCACAACCGGACCCCCCCCAAAAAAAAAGGTCTCATAGACTTTCCTACCTGGGCTGGTTTTGAACTGCAGTCTTCAGATCTCAGCCTCCTGAGTAGCTAGGATTACAGGTGTGAGCCACATGCCTGGCTCCCTTAGGTTTTTGTGTGACCTTTTGGGGCATTTTTTGGAGAAAGAGGGAGAATTTTATATTGTCATGTGTCCATGCTAACTAAATATCTTTGGTTTTTGTTTTGTCAGTCTTAGGGCTTGCTTGGACTGCAGGCATGGGCACTATTCCTGAGTTTTTGCTCAATGCTAGTACTCTACCACTTTGAACCACAGCTTCACCTCTGGTTTTCTGGTGGTTTATTGGAGATAAAGAGTCTCACAGGCTTTCCTGCACAGGCTGGCTTTGAACTATGATCCTTAGATCCTAGCCTTCTGATTAGGATTACATGAGCCACCAGTACCCACATAGATGTATTTTTTTAATTAATTAATTTATTTATTTATTTTTGTCAGTCATGGGGCTTGAACTCTGGGCCTGGGCGCTGTCCCTCAGCTCTTCAGCTCAAGGCTAGCGCTCTACCACTTGAGCCACAGCACCACTTCCGGCTTTTTTCTTTTTGCTTATGTGGTGCTGAGGAATCGAACCCAGGGCCTCGAGTATGCAAGGCAAGCGCTCTACCACTGAGCCACCTTCCCAGCTCCTAAATGTATTTCTTTAAGGGAATTTTCCCCCCTTCAATGAAATGTCCTAGAATCAGGGACTGGGAGACTGGAAGGATCATGGAGGTCTGGAGCTGGAGCATGGTGGCTTGCTCTAGTTTTCCCATGAGTCTCAGGTCACAGCAGGGTCTATAATTTGGTGTTCCTGCCCTTGAGAACTTTTCTCTCCCCTGGCTTGTGGTGGTCCTGACAGCTTTAAAACTGCCCCCTTGTTCAGAGGAAAGGAGATGGGTTGGTGGGAGAGGAACAGGGAGACCACAAGCTAAGCTGTTCTGGGGAGTCACCAGGAATCAGACCAAACAGAGGTTTTCCAGTATTTGTCTGAACTATGTTTCTTCTCCATGTTTTGTGTGTGTGTGTGTGTGTGTGTGTGCATGCGTGCATGCGTGCATGCGCACACACACACGTTGTACAGGGGATTGAAGTCAGGGTTTGGGCCCCTTTGCTTTTTTACTCAAAGCTGATGCTCTAACGCTTGAGCCACAGCTCCACTTCCAGTTTTTTTTTGCTGGTTAATTGGCAATCAGAATCTCACAGACTTTTCCTGCCCTCGACTGGTTTTGAGCCACGATCCTTAGAGCTCCTCTTCCTTCCTGAGTAGTGAGGATTACAGGTGTGAGCCACCAATGCCAGGATTTTTTGATAAATGAATTATACACACATCTAAGGCTTGCAGATGGAACAAATAAAAGGTGACCGATCAGTTGTTACAGATGAGCTCATGACTGTGATTATACAATGTATGTCAGTGTATGTGGCTTTTTTTTTTGGTAGAAGCGTGGACATTCCCCTTGTGCCTTCTAAGAACAGGGGTGTCCTCCTCTCACCACTGCCTGTTAGTACTCTGGGGATGTGTCCGCCATGATCCAATATGTAGCTCATGTCAAACTTGCTCTCTGGGGCCATGTCTTCTTCCACTGATGGAGTTACTGTTTTTGTGGTGGTGGGGATGGAACTCAATATCTCAGCCATACTAGGCAAGCTCTATTGGGGTTACTTTCTGAAACTGTCGAGTCTTAGGGATCAGCCATGCCTCTTGTGCAAGAGGACAGAACTGACAACTTGGTGGGTGCCAGGTGAGGGCGAGCTGAGTTCTTGCCAATGTTCCCTTAACGGTATGGCTCACTACAATGCATTTCAGAATTTCTTTTTCACTTTATTGGCAGCACTGGGATTTGAACTCAGGTCCTCGTGCTTGCTAGGCACTCCCCTCCAGCCCTTTCTGCTTTCATTATTTTTCAAAAAGGGTCTCGCTTTTTATGTGGCTGGCTTGGAGTATGAGCCTCCTATGGACACCTCCCTCATAGCTTGGACAGCAGGTACACACCGCCATGCCCAGCTCCTTGTTGAAATGGAATCTCAGGAAGTTTTTTCCCTAGCTGGTCTCAAACTCTGATCCTCCTGCTATCAGCCTCCACTGGCTAAGCAACAGCGTTGCAATCATCATGCATTGAGTGGCTAAAGAGGTGGCCCCAGGTGGTCTCCATAGCCCTTCACTCTGAAGGGACCCTCTCTTCTAGTAAGTGGTTTTCTCTTTTTTTTCTCTACTTCCTGCCACACCTAGATTGTGTCTAATGCCCCCAGACTCACTTCATATCCCTTCCTCCCGTGTCTCTGGTCCTCCTTGTCCAGGGGCCACAAACAAGCAATTCTCTCCCCCTGTACTGGGTATTCTTTCTTTCTCTTTGCTTGTTTGCTTGCTTTTTTTTTCTTTCTTTCTTTCTTGTCAGTCCTAGGGCTTGAACTCAGGGCCTAGATAAGTGCTCTACCAATTGAACCACAGTAGTACTACTTCTAGTTTTCTGGAGATGAGTCTCCTAGACTTTCCTGCTTTGGCTGGCTTTAAACTGTAATCCTCAGGCTAGGATTACAGGCGTGAGCCACCAATGCCTGGCCCTAGGAACAGGTTTTCTTTTCCATTCCTTTTCTTCCTTTGTTGGGTCCATCTGTGTATCTAATCATGACTGGTTCACAAAGAACTACTCTCATAATGTACTCATAGTTAAGAAAACACTGTTTCTTTTTTGTTTTAAGGTAGGGACTCATTTGCCCAAGCTGGCCTTGAACTCCTGACTCCTGAGTGCTGGGATTACAGGCATAACTCACCGCACTGGGTAAGCAGCTATGTTTCAGAATGCCCCCTTGTGTTTTGTATTTACCTGTTTAAAGCATCACATGGATTATCATAACAATAAAGGAGTGTTCACAAGACAACAGCCATGGCTGGGGTATGGGGCTCAGTGACAGTGTTCATCTAGCTTGTGCAAGGCCCTGAGTTCAATTCCTTAGTACCACAAATACAGAAAAAGCTGGAAGTGGTGCAGTGGCTCAAGTGGTAGAGTGCTAGCCTTGAGCAAATGAAGCTCAGGGACTAGCAAAAAAAAAAAGTAAAAGATATGTTTTCATTTATTTACTTGTGGGGTAGTAAATATATTCCCACTCGCACACAGCTGACTTGCGTGGACATTGGGAACACAGACTGTGGAAGGGCGAGCCTGTACTTGTCTCAAAGTTTAAAGACAGCCTGGGCTAGTCTTCCTTCCCTTCCTGTCTTACAGCAGTGCAGACCAGCAAAGACCCAGACCACTTTTTACAGAGAGAATAAATTAGTTTATTGCTGGGGACCTGAACCAGGCTAGTTCCAGAAAGAAGTTCAGATCTGAGGAAGGCAACTCTGGGTTTAATACAAACTGGTTAAATACACACACACACACGCGCACACACACACACACATGCACACACACAGACACATACACACACACACACTCATTAATCAGGAAGGCAGAGGTCAAGTGGGGGTGACATCAACTCCAGGCCAGGTGTGCAATTTCAAAAATGCCTGTGGACTTCCTGCTACCAAATCATAACCCCACCTAGTCTACCCCAACCCATGTTCCAGGAACAGCCCCACTGCCCTGCATCCGACTGGATGCTGGAACGTTCCTTCACCCAGAGGGGTAATTTTGTCTCCCTCTCTCCCTCCCTCCCTCTCTCCCTCCCTCCTTCCTTCCTTCCTTCCTCCCTCCCTTCCTCCCTCCCTTCCTTCTTTCTCTCTCCTCTCCCCCTCCTTCCTTCCTCTCCTCTCCCTTTCTTTTCTCTTTCTCTCTTTTTTTCTAGGCATGTTCTGGGACTTGAACCCAGAACCTAAGCTTTTTTTATGCACAAGACTGGTGCTCTAGCACTTAAGCCACAGCTCTACCTCTAGCTTTTTTGGTGGTTAATTAGAGATGAGTCTCACTGACTTTTCTGTTCCTACCTGGACTGGCTTCAAACCCCGATCCTCTTGGGTAGCTAGGATTACAGGCGTGAACCACCAGCACCTAACCTAGGTTTGTTTTTTAATCCTCAACCTGCCAGGTTTTTCCAGACCATAATCTGCTGAAATCACTGCAGGGACAGCCCTCCCCCCCTCCCCATCTTCCTGATGGGGGTGGTGCATCCTGAGGATGGCCCCTGGCCTCTCTGACATACCTGAGGGAGGAAGAAGCTCCTCACCTGGGCTAGAGTTGATTGACAGGAAAAGACGGATCCTAGGCCCAACCTGGGACAGGCAGTGAAGCATATACGCCAAGCTGCAAGAACTGATACACAGTGGTGCTGGTGGCTCACTCTTGTAATCCTAACTACTCAAGAGGCTGAGATCTGAGGATCACAATTCAAAGCCAGCCCAAGCAGGAAAGTTCATGACACGCTTATCTCCAGTAAACCACCAGAAAACAAGAAGTGGTGCTGTGGCTCAAAGTGATTGAGTGCTAGCCTTGAGCAAAAGAGCTCAGAGGCAGATCCCAGGCCCTCAGTTCAAGCCCCATGATGGACAAAAACCAAAAACAAAACAACTGCTACACAGAGATGTGTAAGCCATGGCCCCTGTATCCAGGATGACATGAAGCAGATATTCATAGGAGGCTAACTAGGGACACGTGAAAATCAGTGATGTGAGACATGTAATGCTATCTTGCATAGGAAGATTCCTCCAGGGCTGTGGTGGTAAGAGGAACTTAAGACAGGCCTCAGAGGATGTAAAGTGGGAATGTTCTAGCATGTTGTAGCACATTCTCCACTTGCCCTGGAGTGCTTGTTGAAAAGTGGAGGCCCAATTAGGTACCCAAGGCTCATACCTGTAATCCTAGCCACTTGGCAGGCTGATATTGAGAGTGTTGCAGTTGAAGGCCAGCCTGGGCAGAAAAGTTTGCATGCCCCTCTTCTCAAGGGAGAGCCGGACAAGGTGGCACATGCTGCTGCTGCTGCTTCTTTTTCTTTTCTTTTCTTCTTCTTCTTTCTTCTTCTGTCATGGGGCTTGAACTCTGGGCCTGGATGCTGTCCCTGAGCTCTTCAGCTCAAGGTGAGTGCTCTATCACTTGAGCCACAGTGCCACTTCAAGTTTTCTGGTGGTTTGTTGGAGATAAGAGTCTTATGGACTTTCCTACCCGAGCTGGCTTTGAACCACAATCCTCAGATCTCAGCCTCCTGAGTAGCTAGGGTTATAAGCATGAGCCATCGGTGCCTAGCAGCACAAACTTCTTATCCTAGGCAGGAAGTGAAAACTTGTCTCAAAGATAACCAGCAAAAATAGGAATGGAGGCATGGTTCAGTGGTAAGAATGCCTAGGTAGCAGGCCGAGGCCATGAGTTCTAACTCTAGCACACCCCCTCCCCCCACCAAGAAAAAGCTGATGTCTGGGCTCCTCATGGATCTTGAATTCGAATCCCTGGGAGAATAAACCCAGGGGTCTATGGTTTCCTGGTAAACTCAATCCCCTGTTTGAAAGGCATAAAGCCAGTGAGGCCCCAGCTGAGTCACTTAAGTTGCAAGTCCTGTGGGCCTCAGTTTCCTGCCTGTAGGGTGATGTAGGAGGCAGGATTGGCAGCATGTGTGGTGGGATTGAAGCGACTCATGCTATTTTATTGGTATTTTCCATGTGCTCAGGATTGGCAGCATGTGTGGTGGAATTGAAGCGACTCATGCTACTCATGCTATTTTATTGGTGTTTTCCATGTGCTCAACATTTTGAGTTCAGCATTTGGCAGGCTCTTATTTAACTCCTACAAGAGGCTCTTTTTTTTTTTCTTTCTACCAGTCCTGGGGCTTGAATTCAGGACCTGGTCACTGTCCCTGAGCTTCTTTTGCTCAAGGCTAACACTCTACCACTTGTGTCACAGTGCCACTTCCAGTTTTTTCTGTGTACGTGGTACTGAGGAATCAAACCCAGGGCTTCATGCATGCTGGGAAGCACTCTACCCCTGAGCCACATTCCCAGCCCCATGATTTGCTCTTCAACAGGTAGAAATGGAGGCTCAAGAGATGTTAAACAACTTGCCCCAAATAGCCCAGAACTCTTGCAGTATAGGCTTGGCTGTTCATTCTCCCTGGATGAGGACTACTCATGCCTGTTTATGCCAAATCCATTTCTTTTTATGAAGGTTTAAATAATCCATTGTACTTTTGCCAGCTTTGGGCGTGATCTGGACCCATCTGGGCTGCTACTCCTCCAGCTTGCACTCTGCACAAGAGAAGCTGGCTGAGAAAGTTGTGAACTGAGATTTTTTTTTTCTTTCTCTCAGTTACTGGCCCAAACTACCCAGCACTTTTTATCCTATACAATTTTCTTCTCCCTAAATCAGTTTCTCTCACCCAAGGAATCCTTTGCATAAGGGGATGGCTGTCAGAGTGGGGTTGATGCACACCATCCGTGTCTAAAACAGAAGTGAGACTCTATCCCTCTTGTTTGTATCCCAAGTCCCTTATGGCTCTGAGAGGCAAACGAAGGTCCCCATGGCGGGCAGCTCAGCTGATGCCAGCCAGCATGTTTCACAGTGGTGCCTAGGAGGGATGATCAAGTCAACTCTTGAACCTGTGACCTGTTCTGTGCCATTGAATCATTAAGGGATGGGTGGGTGGGAATACGTGATGGGTTAGTGAGAACCCCACACACAACCAGGTCCTGTGTGGTAGTGCCCAAGCATGGCCTCCTTGCTTGAGTATGCCTCAGGTTTTGGCCTGGAGCTGTGAACTCCACAGAGGCAGCAGGATGGAGCCTGTCTTTAAGGCAAGAGGACATGACATAGCTTTGTGCCTGGAGTTTGTGCCTCGGTGGGCTATCAGCTTCGATGAAGATGACGGCACCAAGATTATTGTACTGGAGTTCCAGCATTCTTACCATCCTTGGTTCGTGTTGGGGGACATTTAGACTCTTGCTTCTGCACAGAGAATGCAAATTACAGGCTTGATGACCTGTAATTAATCTTAACTCGGTGCTCAAGCACTAATACATGCTGAGGTTTTGTTTTGTTTTGGAAAGTGGAAATGGGGTGACTTGAAAAGTGAAGTCACTTTGATCTTGTCACCTAGTGTCAAAGTACCCATGGTTCAGTAGTGTTTTTACTTAGAAATGTGCTAATCGGCATCACACAGACAAGTAGAGTCAGGGGCACTTCCAAACAGCCATGTGGTTTTGTGACTAATTGTCGTAATTACTTCTTGCTTCAGATTCTGGTTCCCCTGGCTACAGAGACAGTTTGTGGAAAGAGGAATGGAGATTTGACCAGAAGTTTAAATAGAAACATTTTTTTCTTCTTTTTCCTTTCCTTTTTCTTTTTTTCTTTCTTTTTCTTTTTTTTTTAACAGCATGAGGATGGATCACACATGAGACCATTTCCCTACCCTGAACTAGATCCTAGATCCCTGCCCCCAAACAATTCTGTTTTTTACTAGGGGAGTGACAGTGGAAAGAATTAGACCAGAGATAGGAGTGAGATGACAACTCTACCTCCATGCAGCCCCTCAGGTGTGGGATATTGGGAGATTTCCAGCTGTCACCCCCAGCAGGGCTGGGGTAGGTACATGACATGACACACACCTATCACTGCTTAGCCTGCAACAACACACAAGGTGCAAAGAAAGGCTTCCAGGTTCTTTTGTGTTTTTTTTTCCCCCTAGACAAACTCAAAGACTGCCTAGGGAAGGTGACAGTTGTAAAATTGACCTCGTTGTCATCTTTCTACCCAGCAGGATAAAAATAACTGCAAGAAGAAAGGTTTCAAGAGAGAATGCTCAGAAATCCACCTTAACAACGTGTACTTGGGCCAGCTTGCTCTCCAGCTTGCTGAGCTCCGTGAAATACCCAGGGAGAACTCTGTAGAATCAGGAAAGTGGGAAAGGAGTCAGGGTGTCAGGTAAGACCCTGAAGGCAGAAAGGAGCCCAGCCGCGCCCCACCCTGCAGATTCATAACTGGGAGGAGATTTCCTTTCACTGGGAGGGGCAGAAGAGTGAATTGGAGAAAGACAACCTGTTCAGTGGTTTTGAGAGGCTGTAACCAAGGACAAGGCACAGAAAGAGATCAAATCTTGGGGAGAAGCAACCTAATATGGGTTACCTGAGGGATACTAGTATAATTTAATTGAGTTAATGTTTTGTGCTGGTCCTGGGGCTTGAACTCAACGCCTGGGCACTGTCCCTATGCTTTTTCACTCAAGGCTATAACTTCATCACTTGTGACACAGCTCCACCTTTAGCTTTTCCCTAATTAATTGGTGATGTGAGTCTCATAGACTTCCTGCCTTAGGCTGGCTTTGAACTTTCAATTCTCAGACCTCAGCCTCCTGATTAGCTAGGATTACAAGCGTGAGCCACCCAGCACCCAGCAAAATTAAAATAAATAAATTTAAATCGGGCTGGGAAGGTGGCTCAGTGGTAGAGCACTTGCCTTGCATGCATGAGGCCCTGGGCTTGATTCCTCAGCACCACATATGCAGAAAAAGCTGCAAGTGGTGCTGTGGCTCAAGTGGTAGAGCGCTAGCCTTGAGCTGAAGAGCTGAGGGACAGCACCCAGGCCCAGAGTTCAGGCCCCACAACTGGCAAAAATAAATAAATAAATAAATAAAATTTAAATCAAGGTGAAAAGTGCTAGGGGATATTTTAAGAAACCAGACTTTAGTAATGGCTCAGAACAAAAATAGAGAATAGTAGGAGCTACTATTCAGGAGCCACTCAGTTGCCAGGAAATGGAGATCAGGTAGGGGGACGAGGGGGGGTCCTGAAACTCAGAGAACTGTGGGAAATACACATTGCTCTCCCACCCCCTAATCCACCAACTCAAACTTGTTTTCTTCCTCTCTGCTGGACGCCCCAGGAGAGAAAATAAATGAAATCTAGAACAATGGTTCAGCTACTGAGGGGTGGGGAATGAGTCAGGCTGTGGCTGACTTTCCTCCTCTCCCTGGGGCTGGAGCTTAGGGGATGGTTCACCTTTTCCCTCCCAGTGTGAGAGGAACATGGCAGTGGGGAACGTGAGAAACGTCTCACAGGACCTTCCGGGAGATGAAGAAAGAGCAAATGAAGGGGCCAGGTCCTAGGCAGGCTGTCTGGGAAGGTCACTGTCCCTACAAACTGTGGTCTTCTGTTCTTCAGTGTTTAGTATTTCAGCCAGAGGGAGTACCGCATCTCACAGCACAACCACAGACTGCCACACTCAGGTTTAACTTAGTTTTTGTATTTAAATATACTGACATCCTGGCTTCTTTTTCTCTTGCTTGCTCATTCTCCCTCTCCCCAACTCTTCTTGTTGCTGTCTCGCGCTCTCTCCCTTTCTCATCCTTTGTCTTCCTCTCTTAGTATAAAAAAAATTACCTTGGCCTGATAAATTGTAACTTGCTGGGGCGAGAATATGGGTGGTTTTAAAAGCCTACTGCGCAGGGTTCAGCTCAGTGGGAGAGCACTTGGCTGCAAGGGCAAGCTCTTGGTTCAGTCAACAGCACTGAAGGGAAGGGAGTGAAGGAAGAAGCTGAGGTACCAAGGAAGTAGGGAAGCTAGAGGACTGCTCCCAGGTGAGAACTAGATTTCTGAGTCACAAGCTCATCTCCTCACTTGTGTTTGTATTCTTGAGTTTGCAGATGTTGGGGGCCACACAGCTGGGCAAGGTAGAACCCAGAACCTGTCACACACACACACACACACACACACACACACACGTACACAAATCAGGCTGTCAGGGAAGGTGTGTGTGTGTGTGTGTGTGTGTGAGACATAGAGCTGATTTATGTCTTGTGGTTGCAGATATTTTTTGGCATCAATCCTTTTAAAGTTTTTATTTCCACTTTACAGGAGAAAAGAACACCAAACCCTCATTCCTGTCGTCTCCTGGGGTTCCTGTCCAATCCTGGCCAATATTTACATTCATGGTCATTAGTGTGAAGCTTCCATTTTTGTATTCTGGTTTTACCACTCAGTCTTGCTTTTGTTTTTGTTTGTGAGGTGCTGGGGAAGGATCTAACCCAGGATTTCACAGAAGCTCAGCAAATGCTGAGCCACATCCTCAATCCCTAAACTTGTGTTTGTTTTCACATTGCTATATGTAAAGAGTTAAGTTCAAGTCCCTGAAAACCCCAAGTAGGGAGGGGACATGAGCCTGCCTGCTGTTGGGGCTGAAGAGCTGTCTGCGGTGAGGTCTTTGCCATTGTAAGTAGTGTTTACCGTGATCTTAACTAAGGAGAAACAACTCTTTCACTGTTTTCAGAAGTTTGAAAACTTTAGGCCCAGAAGAACTGAGCTGGAAAGTCTTTGCTTGCAAGTTTATGACATCAAGTCATAGGTTTAAAGTCCGAAAGGGCTCAGATTTCTTCTCCACGTGTAGAAATCTCAGCGCTCCATCCAGAGAGCAGAGCAGGCTTCTCTGTACTGGAGTCTGGGACCATGAAATGAGAGCCCTGCAACTGGAGCCCAGCCTTCCCCGTGGGGACATGTAGGACAGCGTCACCAGGCAGTAGCCCACACTCTTCTCACAGCTCTCCAGATGAGTGCCCCTGGACCCATCTCCAGCACGGTAACCAGTGGCTTCCCACAGAAGCAGCTGGTGGGGGTGGTGGTGATGGTTATATTAGGGTGAGGTCTGCAGAGGAGGGTACATGTAGACTGAACACATCTGGGGGCAGCTAGGAGGGTGTCCTGGAACCTCTGTTCCTATCCTTTTTAGACCATAACTGTCATTTATGTAAACTCTAACTTGGGGGTTCAGGTTAAATGACAGAGAGAGGACTGTAGCCATAAGAAACTTGTTTTCCCAGTTCAGTGTTGAGGGCAGGAAGCTCTGGGGCTCTTGTGTGCTGACACTGCCCTGAGAGTCTCTGAAGGGAGCTTCTCAATGTACTCTTAAGCAAGTACTTGTTCTTCAGTAGTTTGTACAACTTGGTGAGCTGCAGTCTATTTTTGTTTTATTGTTTTCTTTCCAAATTACTTTAGTGTGTTATTGTTCTTGTTTTTGTTTTTGAACTCAGGGCCTGGGAACTATCCCTGAGCTTCTTTTGCTCAAGGCTAGCACTCTACCACTTGAGCCACAGCGCCACTTTCAGCTTTTTCTGTTTATGTGGTATGGAGGAATCAAGCCCAGGGCTTTATGCATGCTAGGCAAGCACTCTACCACTGAGCCACCTTCTCAGTCCCCTTGAGTGGTCTTTTTTTTTTTGGGTCCAGTCGTGGGGCCTGAACTCTGGGTCTGGGCGCTGTCCCTCAGCTCTTCAGCTCAGGGCTAACACTCTACCACTTGAGCCACAGCACCACTTCCGGCTTTTTTTTTTTGCTTATATGGTGCTGAGGAATCGAACCCAGGGCCTCAGGCATGCAAGGCAAGCGCTTTACCACTGAGCCACTTTCCCAGCCCCCCTTGGGTGTGTTTTTACACATGGTTTAGGTGAAAGATTCAATTGATTTTTTTTTTTTTACTCCAGCAAATAGGCTGGCTCAAATATAACAGGTACATTTATAGTTAATGTCAGCAAAGATGTGTGATGAGTTGATGTATTTCTTGGTCCCTTTCTAACAGAGTTCTTGATCCAGTACCCTAAATCTCCAAGGAGATCCTCAAAGCCAAGCACCAAGGACTAGTCTAGGTCCTTGGCATCTTAGCCAGCAGGATGGAGACCACACCCTTGAATTCTCAGAAGGTGCTGTCAGCTTGCAAGGATGGAGAGGATTGTCAGGAAAACGGTGTTCTACAGAAAGGTATCCCCACCCCAGGGGACCAAGCAGAGTCCAGCCAAATATCTAATGGGTATTCAGCAGTTCCCAACCCCAGTGCAGGCGATGACACTCGGCACTCGATCCCAGCTGCCACCACCACCCTAGTGGCTGAGGTTCATCAAGGAGAAAGGGAGACCTGGGGCAAGAAGATGGATTTCCTCCTCTCTGTCATCGGCTATGCTGTGGACCTAGGCAACATCTGGCGCTTTCCTTACATATGTTACCAGAATGGAGGGGGTCAGTATCACGGGCCATGTGTGGCGTGGGGGCTCTGACCTGGGGCTGGGCTGTAGATCCTTGTAGGAGGCCAAAAAGACAATTAAAATCTTTGTTATCCTAGATAAGTGTAGAAATGTGACTGCTTAGACTTTCTACATTCAGCTAAGAGGCAGATCTCCAGTAAGTCCAAAGCTTAGATCAACATGTCTGAGTCTTTCTGGTTTGAACTGGATGGGAGCCCTCCCAGGCTCATTCGGGTTACCAGCACCATTAGTGTTTGATTTGCTGGAGGGCCTCCTTCTCATCCTTCCCCTTCCACACTCCATCTGCCACTGAGCCAGAAGCCAGGGAATGGCCAGCCACTGCACTGGGCTGAGAGCGCCTTCATTCCTAATGGCAGCTTCTGCCCACAAGAGTCTGGAAGGTCGGGCTGGGAAGGTGGCTCAGTGGTAGAGTGCTTGCCTTGCATGCATGAGGCCCTGGGTTTGATTCCTCAGCACCACATAAGCAGAAAAAGCCAGAAGTGGCGCTGTGGCTCAAGTGGTAGAGCACTAGCCTTGAGCTGAAGAGTTGAGGGACAGCACCCAGGCCCTGAGTTCAGGTACCACGACTGACCAAAAAAAAAGAGTCTGGAAGGTCAGGTTTGCATAAGGAACAATTAGGAAGTAGCTCTAGGGCTCCAGATCTTCTTGGGCATTTGGATTATGTGAGATCAAAGAATGATGTCAACTTAGGTCTGGAATCTTTTAGGTTAATAGGCTGGCACAATTAATGCCAACCCCCAAACATACTTGGATATACTCATATCTCCTATGAGAATTAGATTTTATTTTTATTTTTTGTCGGTCGTGGGGCTTGAACTCTGGGCTTGGGCACTATCCCTGTGCTCTTTAGCTCAAGGTGAGCGCTCTACCACTTGAGCCATAGCACCACTTCCAGTTTTCTAGTGGTTTATTAGAGATAGGAGTCTCACGGACTTTTCTGCCTGGGCTGGCTTTGAACCTCGCTCCTCAGATCTCAGCCTCCTGAGTAGCTAGGATTACAGCCACCAGTATCCAGTTGAGAATTAGACTTTTGAGGTCAGAGACTGTACTTAGATCTTTTTTGTAACCCTAAAGACCTTATAGATGTTAAAAAATCATAGCAGACTGTAGGTATGGGCTTGGGAAGCAGGGAGAGGAAGGAGAATATATGGACCCTCTCCCTTGTCTCTCTGGGTTGATATTGGATTAGTTATTAGAACAAGAAAAGGTCATGAAGAAATGATTTTCAAATCACTTGTGTCATTCTTTCTTCCATGGACTGACAGTTGTCCAGGTTTTTGTGTTGTTGTTGTTGTTGTTGTAGGGCTTGAACTCAGGGCCTGGGTGCTGTCCTTGAGCTCTTGCTCTCAAGGCTATTGTTCTACCACTTTGAGCTACATCTCCACTTCTGGTTTTCTAGTAGGTAATTGAAGAGTTTCACTGCCTTTCTTGTGCCTGGGCTAGCTTTGAACCATGATCCTTAGATCTCAGCCTCCTGAGTAATGAGGAGTACAGGCATAAGCTGCCAGCACCTAGCTGGTTTGCTATATCTTAAGTACATCTGTTTTTGTGGTTGCAAGGACTTCCTGCCCAAGAAATGCAGAAGTCATTTCCCCTTAGCTCTATAGGACTCACCTTTAGCCCTAAGCATTAAGTCTGCGGTGCTATTCCCTACTATAAAGCTGATAGCGCTAGTTGGTTTTCATAAAGACTACCACAGAAACATAAGGTCTAATTCTCAAGCCATGTGTTCCCAAGGCAATTAAATTTTGTGTGGACCTTTCCCAGTCATACTGACTTTTAGTTTTTTAAGACCAAAAGCATTGTATAGGAGGGAAACTCTTGGTGCTAAAACTCAGCTGTAGGTAATTAGACCTCAGCCTAGCATTTCCAGATGCACCTCAGCCAAGGGCCAGGAGACTTCAGCATTTTCAGCTATTTAATAGCTTTGTGCTTTTTTTTTTTCTTCCAGTCATAGGGCTGAACTCAGGGCCTGGGTGCTGTCCCTCAGCTCTTCAGCTCAAGGCCAGTGCTCTACCACTTGAGCCACAGTACCCAGGTTTCTGATGGTTATTTGGAGAGTGTCATGGACTTTCTTGCCTGGGCTGACTTTGAAACGCGATCCTCAGCTCTCAAACTCCTGAATAGCTAGGATTACAGGTGTAAGCCACCAGTGCCCAGCTGCTTTGTGCTTTCTTGTTTCAGTCATGTTCCCAAAGGTAGAATGTGAGGGGTCATTTCTGGCTCAGTGGCGTTATGGACACATAGGCAAGTATCGGTGATCAAGTGTCTGGGAGTCAGTACTAGTATGTGGAGATCCAGCTCCCTGACTCATAGCAGGCCTCAGCTGGGTAGATCATTGCAGGTGATCTGTGCTCAACGTTCTGTACCAATTCTATCAGGATCACTCAGGAGCCTAAAAATTAGCTCATATTGCATTTGTTCCTGGATGATCTGCAGTAGAACCTGGAACCTGGGATGAGTTTCTAGGCTCACCAGTGGTTGTAACATGTGGCTAGGTTTAGGAAGTCAAGGTTCAAGGGGAAGTAGCCCAGGCTTTTCCAAGTGGCCAGAAAGGGTGATGATGCCAGTGCTTGTGCTGTTTTCTTCCAGTCCAGCTCTTTCCATTTGCTTGCAGTCCCTGTGAAACCTTGATTTCCCTGTGGAGCTCTATCTACTGTGACTTCTGAGCAAAGCACTAAGACCAGGGACAGAGTGTCGTCACATAGCACAGGGTGGCCATGTGATGCTTGCATGTCAGGTGGCTCTGTGGTTCTCTGTGTAATTCCTCATGCCCAGGATCAGTTGGGGTGACCTGTAGAACAACATGGGCAGGGAGTGAAATTGTTTTTCATCTACCTCAGGGGCATTCCTCCTCCCCTATACCATCATGGCGATTTTCGGGGGGATCCCACTGTTTTACATGGAGCTTGCACTGGGCCAGTACCACCGAAATGGATGCATTTCTATATGGAGGAAAATCTGCCCAATTTTCAAAGGTAACTGAAGGGTTTGGGTGGGTGAGGAGGGGATGCTCATCTATGGTGGGAGCTGGGATCTCTTTGGTATCTCCGGGCAATAACTTGAGTCTTTTTTTTTTTTTTTTTGTCGGTCGTGGGGCTTGAACTCTGGGCCTGGGCGCTGTCCCTCAGCTCTTCAGCTCAAGGCGAGTGCTCTACCACTTGAGCTACCGTGCCACTTCCGGTTTTCTCATGGTTTATTGGAGATAGGAGTCTCTCAGTCTTTCCTGCCCAGGCTGGCTTTGAACCTCAATCTTCAGATCTCAGCTTCCTGAGTAGCTAGGATTACAGGCATGAGCCACCAGCTCCCAGTTTTGAGTCTTTTTTTCTTCTTCTTTCTTTTGGGCCAGTACTGGGGCCAGTACTAGACCTTATGCTCTCCCTTAGCTTTTTTGCTTAAGGCTGGTGCTCTGTCACTTGAGCCACACCTCCACCTCCTGGTTAATTGGAGATAAATCTTTCTCAGATTTGTCTGCCCAGGCTGGCTTCAAACCAGGATCCTCAGATCTCAGCCTCCTGAATAGCTCAGATTACAGGTGTGAGCCACTGACACCTGGATAACTTGAGTTTTTGACTACTCACATGGTATGAAATTGTTAAGACATAGAGTAAGTGAACAAATAGCAATTTAAAAGTGTAAAGCATCAAAACACTCATGCAACTTAAATATTTATAAATATACATATGAGTAACCTGCATTGGCACTCTCCATGTCCCTATTAAGGCCCTTGGGGAATTAAATGCATAGCAATAACCATCTTTTTTTTTATGTACTGATGTTTGAGCTCAGAGGCCTATGCTTTCTACACAGACACTCTACTACTTGAGTCACTCTACCAGCCCCTTTTTGTGTGTGCCATGCTGGGACTGGATCTCAGGACGTAGGTGGTATCTTTGAGCCTTTTTTCTTTTTCTTTTTTAATTTTTTTGGTCATGGGGCTTGAACTCTGGTCTTGGGCACTGTCCCTCAGCTCTTCAGCTCAAGGTGAGCACTCTACCGCATGAGCCACAGCACCACTTCTGGTTTTCTGGTGGTTAATTGGAGATAAGAGTCTCACAGATTTTCCTGCCTGGGCTGGCTTTGAACTGTGATCCTCAGATCTCAGCCTCCTGAGTAGCCAGGATTATAGGTATGAGCCAACAGTGCCCAGCTATCTTTGGCCTTTTTGCTCAAGATTAGTAATCTACTGCTTGAGCCACATCTCCACTTCTGGCTTCTTGCTAGTTAATCAGAGATAAGAATCTCATGGATGGAAGTGACGGTATAGCTCAAGTGGTAGAGTGCTAGCCTTGAGCTGAAGAGCTGAGGGACAGTGCTCAGGCCTGGAGTTAAAGCCCCACGACCGACCAAAAAAAAAAAAAAGAATCTCATGGAGTTTCCTGTTCAGTCTTGCTTCAAACCTCTACCACAGTACTCAGCCTCCTGAGTAGAATTACAAACATGATCCACTGGCGCTCAGCTCAGTGATGGTTATTTATTTATTTATTGTCTGTCATGGGGCTTGAACTCTGGGCCTGGGCGCTGTCCCTCAGCTCTTCAGCTCAAGGCTAGTGCTCTACCTCTTGAGCCACAGCGCCACTTCCAGTTTTCTGGTAGTTTACTGTAGATAAGAGTTCCATGCACTTTCCTGCCCAGGCTAGCTTTGAACTGTGATCCTCAGATCTTAGCCTCTTGAGTAGCTGAGATTACAGGCTTGAGCCACTGGCGCCAGGCAGTGATAGTTATCTTTGAGATAAGGTCGTGCTTTATGCCTGAATCAATCCATAGCAGGATCTTCTATCCGAGCTTCCCTGTGTTGCTGTGATGACAGGCACACACCACCTCACCCAGAGTCTTGAGGACATTCTTCCCCCAATTGCTGACTTGGACTGGCCTTGAACTGCAAAACATCCTCACATCTCTGCCTGCTAAGGATTTTTGGCTTGAGCAACTATACCCAGCAACAGTAACCAGTTTTGCCCCTTACCTGGGCTATGAATTTTCTGGTGGCCTTTCACTATTGGGCTGCCCTTTGAACTTGGCCCCTCTCACTCCCTGCCTAGGAATTGGCTATGCCATCTGCATCATTGCCTTCTACATTGCCTCCTACTACAATACCATCATGGCCTGGGCACTCTACTACCTCATCTCCTCCTTCACGGACCAGCTACCCTGGACCAGCTGCAAGAACTCCTGGAACACTGGCAACTGCACCAACTACTTCTCGGAGGACAACATCACCTGGACACTCCATTCCACATCCCCCGCCGAAGAATTTTACACGTAAGTGCACGTGAGGAAAGGGGGTGGTCTGTTAAGGGACAGCCGTACCATCTTAGGAAGGAGGCAGGGGCTAAGGTCTTCACAGCTCTGCTGGTGGGTTTCTGAAATAATGAAGTTGTGGGCTGGGAAGGTGGCTCAGTGGTAGACGCTTGCCATACATGCATGAGGCCCCGGGTTCAATTCCTCAGCACCACATAAGCAGAAAAAACCGGAAGTGGCACTGTGGCTCAAGTGGTAGAGCAGTAGCCTTGAGCTGAAGAGCTGAAGGACAGCACCCAGGACTAGAGTTCAGGTCCCACAATCGACAAAATAATAATAATAATAATAATAATAATGAGGTTGTTAGGGATGGGGGAGCAAATATGAATGAGGAGGTGGCAGAGCTGGCTCCTGCAGGTTCTGGAGTTGGGAAACTACCTTGAATAATCTCTGATCTAGCCCTCCTCTCATGTGTGCCAGGCCAGGCTGCTGCACCCTGTCCTACCAAACCCTTACCTTCACTTTCCAAAATACCTCTCCTCTATCAAGTCTACCCTTCATCCTGCTTCTCCTCCGAGCCAACTGCTTGTACAATAATCCAAAATGTGTATACACACACACGTGTATGTTTACAATAAAGGCCCTTGTGCATACATGTACATAGTATACATGTGTGCATACAGGTTGCCATGCTGCAGATCTGTCCCAGCATCTTGCACATGCTAGGGGGGCACTCTACCACTGAGCTACAACCCCCTGGCCAGTAGTTTCTTTTCTGAAATGCCAACTGTTTTAGATGGACACAAATGCTTTTCAAAAGTATGGCTTTTGATAGTTTTATATTATCATCCCTTTGACTAAGTGGATCAATATTCCTCCCTAGGGGCCAATAGATTGATTGGCTGTTTTATTTTTTGTTTGGTCAGTCGTGGGGCTTGAACTTGGCCTAGATACTGTGCCTGAGTTTTTTGTTGTTGTTGTTGTTTTTTGTTTTTTTCTTTTTGGGTCTGGTCGTCAGGCCTGAACTCTGGGCCTGGGCGCTGTTCCTCAGCAATTCAGCTCAAGGCTAGCACTCTATCACTTGAGCCACAGCACCACTTCCGGCTTTTTTTTCCTGCTTATGTGGTGCTGAGGAATTGAACCCAGGGCCTCATGTATACAAGGCAAGCACTCTACCACTGAGCCACCTTCCCAGCCCCAATGCCTGAGTTTTTTTGCTCAAAGCTAGTGCTCTAGCACTTTGAGTCACAGCTCCACTTCTGATTTTCTCTTGGTTAATTGGAAATAAGAGACTCACAGACTTTCCTGACTGGACTAGCTTCAAATCATGATCCTCAGATCTCAACCTCCTAAGTAGGTAGTATTATAGGCACGAGCCACCAGCACCCAGCTTACCAGTAGTATTTTTTTTTTTTTTTGGTCAGTTGTGGGGCTTGAACTCTGGGCCTGGGCACTGTCCCTAAACTCTTAAGCTCTTCAGCTAAAGGTACACGCTTTACCACTTGAGCTAAGTGCCATTTGTGGTTTTCTGGTGGTTAATTGGAGTCTCAGACTTTCCTGCCTGGGCTGGCTTTGAACTATGATACTCAGATCTCAGCATCCTGAGTAGCTAGGATTGCAGGCGTGAGCCACAGGTGCCTGGCACCAGTAGTATTTTTTTTTTTTTTGGTCGGTTCTGGGGCCTGAACTCTGACCCTCAGCTCTTCAGTTCAAGGCTAGCACTCTACCACTTGAGCCACAGTACCACTTCTGGCTTTTTCTGTTTATGTGGTACTGAGGAATCAAACCCAGAGCCTCATGCATACAAGGCAAGCAATCTACCACTGAACCACCTTCCCAGCCCCACTAGTAATTTTTTTAATGCAGGAATTTTAGGCAATGGTAGCCTAAAGACAGAGCTACTTTGATGTGAGGGAAGAGGCCCAAATAAGTCATCATATATGCCAGGTGCTGATGGTTCACATCTGTAATTGTAGCTACTCAGAGGCTAAGCTCTGACAACCATGGTTTGAAAGCCTGAGCTGAAAAGGCCAAGAGACTCTTATCTCCAATTAACCAGCAAAAAGCCGGAAGTGGAGCTGTGGCTCAAGTGGTAGAGTGTCAGCCTTGATTGAAAAAGCTCAAGGAGTACATGAGGCCCTGAGTTCAAGCCCCAGTACTCCTCCTCACCTCCTCCCCCCGCCCCCCACAATGTCCTCATGTACGGGAAAGGCAGTCATGTTGGTCATCACATTCAGGTGCTAGGTGACCCAGGTGGAAGCAGGAAGTCAGCCTGTGGGCTGGGTGCGCTTCTGAGGTTGTTGGCTGAATGCACTGCTTTCCCCTTCAGGGTCAGTGGGGCCCACTGTCGCCCTTGTTGAGGATTAGTGACTGCTTGGTTGTTGCAGCAGTGTCCCCTTCTTTCTTGGCAAACTTGCTGGAGGTGTCACATATCAGATGTGCTCAGGTCCCTGTCCAGATTCTCTCATAGGCTTTCCTTTGTCACTCTAGACGCCATGTCCTGCAGATCCACCGCTCTAAGGGACTCCAGGACCTAGGGGGCATCAGCTGGCAGCTGGCCCTCTGCATCATGCTCATCTTCACTATTATCTACTTCAGCATCTGGAAAGGTGTCAAAACATCTGGCAAGGTGAGGACTCTGGCTGCTGATCCAAGCCTGTCCAAGGGCCCCATGGGAGAGCTCTAACTCAGAACCCAGTATCTATACAGATACTAGTTAGGGGATTGTTTTCATCAACACTAAACATACTCTTCCTCTACATCTGTTTGAAGAGCTCAGAAATGGGCCAATCCCATTTACTTGTATGGGCATGTAAGTAAGGGGTGTGACACAGCAACTTTACATTTAAAAACTTATGCAACTTTTGTTGTTGTTAAAAATCCCTTTAACCTACTGGTAGAGTCACAGTTACTAGCAGTGGCAGTAATTTTCTGAGAAACCATTGTGGGCCATGCCCATGCTTGATCTATATTGGCTAACGTACTTCCTGCTACTTAACTGTCCCTGCCTTATACATGTAAGCCAGACTGTCTTGGCTTAGAGGAAGGTAGTACTGGTTAAATCAGATTCCTATCCATGTGATTCTGAAGCCAGTTAACTTTCTGCCACATATTTCCTCCTAAAATGACTGGGGGAAGAAAAATAAAGTGTATTTCTTTCCCAGAGGTCTTCAGGAGTAGAAGCCTCTACATATACCCATTTCCCTTCCTTGCTGTCCCTGGAATAGTGTGGTGATAACCTGTGTTTCCCTTCTACTTCCTTACAGGTGGTGTGGGTGACAGCCACCTTCCCTTACATCATTCTTTCTGTCCTTCTGGTGAGGGGTGCCACCCTTCCTGGAGCCTGGAGGGGTGTTGTCTTCTACTTGAAACCCAATTGGCAGAAACTCCTAGAGACAGGGGTAAGATACTGAAGGAAACTGCATGCACCCGGCATTTACTAGATGAGCTAGCTCTTTCTCCTTCAAAGAGGACAGTAGGAACAACTGAAATTCACTGTGAAGTCTGTAATGATACTTTAACTACAAATATAAGTATGAAAAGTATAGTTGAGCAGAGTGCAAGTGCCTTATGCTTGTAATGCCAGTAAGTCAACAGGCTGAGACCTGGAGGATCATGGTTTGAAGCCAGGACTGGCCAGAAAAGTCAAGATTCCATCTCCAGTTAACTAGCAAAATGCCAGACTAAAGGCATGGCTCAAGTTGGGAAGCTCTAGCTGTGAGCAAACAAACCGATTAATCATGATAGACCCTGAATTCAAACACACACACACACACACACACACACGGTTGGGAATGTGGCATAGTGGTAGAATGCTTGCTTAGCATTCATAAAGCCTTGGGTTCAATTCCTCAGTTTTACATAAACAGAAAAAGCCAGAAATGGTGCTCAAGTGGTAGAGTGCTAGCCTTGAGCAAAAGCAGCTCAGGGACAGTGCCCATGCTCTGAGTTCAAGATCCACAACCAACAACAAAAATACACTGGAGGCTACTGGATGGACTTATGTCTAAAAGATAGAGAAATTACATATATTTCACTGGCTATGTTGTCTATCTCTAGACTGAGTCTTGAAAAGATGGGGTTTGTCCTATATTTTGTCACATGGAAGCATGAGAGGTACTGGCCTGCTGGTGCCCAGTGCTGGTCTGGCTCTTGCCCCTTGCCCTCATGTCCTTTGCTCTGCTGTGTTCCAGGTATGGGTGGATGCTGCTGCTCAGATCTTCTTCTCTCTTGGGCCAGGCTTTGGGGTCCTCCTAGCTTTTGCCAGTTACAACAAGTTCAACAACAACTGTTATCAGTGAGTATCTGAGGCCCCCAACTGAAGTTTGGAAGTGGAGCAAGCAAAAGCCAGCTAGTTTGGAAGAAAGTGATTAAACTGACAGCCTTAAACCTGGCTGGGTTCTGGCCAACCAGGTTCACCCCCGGGGGTGCTACCAGCCCCTGGCTATTCACCCATGCCCATAGAGCTCACTCAAGCCATAACACAGGCCACTAATAGGTTAACAGAGGTCCCAGGCCACTTCTGTTTTGTAAGGGTCCCAGTCTGTAAAACTAGTAATTAAGGAATTCTGGGTCCTAGTGGGAGGTGGCAGGTAACAGTGGGGGAAGGAGGGTGAATATACTCATAACAGCCTTATGTAGTAGACACCTAGGTAAATAAACTCAATGAGACTGATTTGGAAAGAGCAAGAGGAAAGAAGAGAGAATGACAGTGAGAATGACTGGTCAAGATATATTTTATGCATAAATGGACATATTAAATGGCATACTCTCATACACTCATTGATGCTAATTAAAAATTCTTTTTTTTTCTTTTTTGGTTGGTCCTAGGCACTGTCCCTGAGCTCTTCAGCTTAAGGCTAACGCTCTACCACTTGAGCCACAGTGCCACTTCTAGCCTTTTGTGTTTATGTGATACTGAGGAATCAAACCCAGGGCCTCATGAATGTGAGGCAAGCAATCTACCACTGAGCCACCTTCCAGCCCCCCTAATTAAAAATTCTACAGTAGGTTTATAAATATTACAACATAGAACTAAATATTTAAGCTTAACGAGTTAATATGTTTACAAAATTATGTGTTGACTTGTTTATACAAAAGTGTGATTGAGCTGGGTGCCAGTGGCTCATGCCTGTAATCCTAGCTACTCAGGAGGCTGAGATCTGAGGATTATGGTTCAAAGCCAGCCCAGGCAAGAAAGTCCATGAGACTCTTATCTCCAATAAACCACTAGAAAACCGGAAGTGGCGCTGTGGCTCAAGCAGTAGAGTGCTAGCCTTGAGCTGAAGAGCACAGGGACAGCGCCCAAGCCCAGAGTTCAAGCACCACAACCAACAACAACAACAAAAAAAGTATGATTGAATTATTTCAGCTAACATGTCATAATTAGAAAAATCATGCTTCTGATTGGTGCTAGTCCTAAGGCTTGAAATCTGGGCCTGAGCTCTGTCACTGAGCTTTTTTTTTTGTCGGTCATGGGGCTTGAACTCTAGGCCTGGGCACTGTCCCTCAGCTCTTCAGCTCAAGGCGAGCACTCTACCTCTTGAGCCACAGCGCCACTTCTGGTTTTCTAGTGGTTTATTGGAGATCAGAGTCTCACAGACTTTTCTGCCCAGGCTGGCTTTGAACCGTGATCCTCAGATCTCAGCCTCCTGAGTAGCTAGGATTACAGGCGTGAGCGCCCAGCTTTCACTGAGCTTTTTTGCTCAAGGCTAGCACTCTATCACTTGAGCCATAGCACCATTCCCAGCTTTTTGTGGTTTACTGGAAATAAGAGTAATGCAGACTTTCCTTCCCTAGGCTGGCTTCAAACTGTAATCCTCAGATCTCAGCCTCCTGAGTAGCTAGGGTGACAGGTGTGAGCCACCGCTACACTTAAGATTATTATTATTGGTAGTTGTGGTGGTGGTGGTCATAGGGCTTGAACTCAGGGCCTGGGTGCTATCTCTGAGCTTTTTCAACTCAAGGCTAGTGCTCTACCACAGCTTTGAGCCACATTGCCACTTCTGTTGTTAATTGGACATGAATCTCACAGACTTTTCTGTTCAGGCTTACTTTGAACCCCAATCCTCAGATCTCAGCCTCTTGAGTAGCTAGGATTACAGGTGTGAGCCACCAGCACCTGGTTCTTAACACATTTTAATGAACGCTGCTCTAATAATGACTTGTTACTCATCACCTTTAGACTTTAGTGTCCTATCATAGATGGTGATGTCCAATACTCACTTTGTGCTATTCATTTGTGCTATTTTTTTGCAGTTCTGATTGGACTCAGAGCCTTGTACTTGCTAGATGGGTGCTCTACCACTTGAGACCCATCTCCAGCCTGAGAATTATTTTTAAAAAATGGAGGCAGGGCAGGCACCACTGGCTCCTGCCTATAATCCTAGCTATTTAAGAGGCTATCTGAGGATCAAGATTCAAATCCAGACTGAAAAGCTGGAAGTGGACTGTGGCTCAAGTGCTAGAGTTTCAGCTTTGAGTGAGAAAGCCCTGAAACCAAGCCTCACCACACACACACGCACACACACACACACACACACGCACGCACGCACGCACACACACACACACATGTGTCAGAGTATCTGCATGGGCATCCTGTAACTTGATCAGTAGATGTCCAAATCCAAAACCGAAGACTTCACAAATGTGATGCCAAGGCCTGGTCCTGGCCCCCACTCCAGCCTGCACACTACTCCGGAGCAGTGCCTCACCTGTCTGCCATAGAACAATCTGTTCTATGTTGTTTCATGCCTCCTAAAACCCTTGTACCTGATACTCTCCTCACACAATGGATGGTGGTCATAGCATTTGTGCTTCAAGCCTTGGGGAATTTTTTTTTTTTGAGAAAGAAGAGTATCAGAGCAGACTAGAGGTTCCTTTGAGCCATGGAAGTCTGTCTTCAACAGGGCAGGCAGACAGGTACTTAGAATCTCCATCCCAAAACTGTTTCAGACTTCTTGGGTTTTCTGCTTTAGAGATGCCCTGGTGACCAGTATGGTAAACTGCATGACCAGTTTCGTTTCGGGATTTGTCATCTTCACGGTGCTCGGATATATGGCTGAGATGAGGAATGAAGATGTATCTGAGGTGGCCAAAGATGCAGGTAAGGCTCAGGCTCTGTTTACTGAGTGGCTATGTTTGGTGTCTCTAGAAATATCTAGCTTCTGAATCATTTCTAATTGACCCTTTAAATTTTCATATTTGGGAGAAACTTGATGGTTTAGAGATCTCAACCGTCTCCATGTATTGAATAGGGTAGTTCCCTTGAGCCTAGTGCTGGGGCCTTCAACGCATGATGGACTTGAAAATATGACTTTGATGATAGCTTTAAAACCAGTGAGAATGTAACTAGGTGCAGGTGGCTCACGCCTATAATCCTAGCTACTCAGGAGGCTGAGATCTGAGCATCATAGTTTGAAGCCAGCCCTGGCAGAAAAGTTTGTGAGACTCTTATCTCCATTTAACCACTAAAGAGCCAGAAATAGCGTTGTGGCTAAGTGATAGAGCGCTAGGCTTGAGCACAAAACCTCAGGAATAGAGCCCAGGCCCCAAATTCCAGCCCCAGAACCAGCACAACAAACAAAAACAGAGAGTGGGTGCTGTGATAATCTTGTGATGGTCCAGTCTTTTAGACAAGTAATCACTAATCCTGAATACTGCCCATTGCTGATGTGGCCTCTTATTTATTGTAGGTCTTCATATATAAATAAAAAGCATGATACACATTGAAAAGATCTAGTGACATTCCAGCACTTTCTCATAAATATACTTGTGGATTTAGCTTGATTTCTAAAAAATCGGGTCCTGATCCTAGATTTGAAATCAGGGCCTACATGCTGTCCCTGAGATTTTGTGCTCAAGACTAGTGCTCTACCATTTGAGCTACAACTCCCTTCTGGCTTTTTGGTGATTAATTGTCTGTAAGAGTCTCATAGACTTTCCTTCCCAGGCTACTCAGCCCCCTGAGTAGCTAGGATTACAGGCATGTGGCGCAGATGCCTGGTTTGGCCTGTTTTGATCAACACCATACTCCAAGGCATCACTACCTAGCCCATGAAAACTTGTCATTCACAAAGGAACTTGAAAATAAAGGACATTTGTTCCCTTTCCTACTGTTTTAGAGCAGGGACAACATTAGCAGTGACTTAAAAGCTATGGGACAGGGCTGGGAAGGTGGCTCATTGGTAGAGTGCTTGCCTTGCATGCATGAGGCCCTGGGTTCGATTCTTCAGCACCACATAAGCAGAAAAAGCTGGAAGTGGCACCATGGCTCAAATGGTAGAGTGCTAGCCTTAGAGTTGAATAGCTGACCGATAGCACCCAGGCCCAGGGTTCAGGCCCCACGACTGACTGGAAAAAAAAAAAAAGCTGTAGGACATTACAATCCTGGCCCTGAAACTAAGTTACCAAATTGTCACATAGTAGAAACTTTGTACTGCTTTGCTAGTCTCAGGATTTTGTTCCCATCCTCATGTTAACCAAGGGCACACCATTTTCTTTCTTTCTTTCTTTTTTTGTCGGTCATGGGGCTTGAACTCTGGGCCTGAGTGCTGTCCCTCAGCTCTTCAGCTCAAGGCTAGTGCTCTACCACTTGAGCTATAGCGCCACTTCTGGCTTTCTGGTGGTTTATTGGAGATAAGAGTTTCACGGGCTTTTCCTGCCCAGGCTGGCTTTGAACCATGATCCTCAGATCTCAGCCTCCTGAGTAGCTAGGATTACAGGTGTGAGCCATCGGCACCTGGCTAGGGGCACACCATTTTCATTCTTCCCTTCCAGGATGATGAGGTGAGGAAGTGCTTAGTAGCCATCAAATTTCAATTCATGGTGAAGGTCATGTGAAGAGGACTGCAGTTTTTGGTGTAGTTGTTTTATTCTTTAACATCTTTGTGGGAAAGATCTTAGCAACTGCCTCACCCTCTTCTTTGTCTCAGGTCCCAGCCTCCTCTTCATCACATATGCAGAGGCCATAGCCAACATGCCAGCAGCTACATTCTTTGCCATCATCTTCTTCCTCATGTTAATCACACTGGGCTTGGACAGCACGGTGAGTGAATGGAGGGAAACTGGCTTCTGGAAGGAGGAGGAGGAAAAGAGGAGGAGGAAGATGGATTGATCTCTCCTACTCTGGCCCTCTCGGCAGTATTGGCTGCTCCTTTTTGCTGCTTCCCACACTCTGGTACACTCCTGGGCAATGGCACCTATTTCTCCTAGGACAGCAGTGTCACTATTAGGAAAATGCAGGGAAAATTCCTGGCACAGGTGAAGGGTTCAGTATTGTGAATTCCTCATTGTGTTAACCCTTGACCAGGTGATGGCACTTTTATGCTCTGGCCAGCACTCAGCTCAATGCCTTGTACTTATTTGTGTGGAGAAACCAGGTGTTGACCTTTCTAGCAGAACCAGTCTCCCCAAGAGACCTTATACACTAAAGTTCTGTCCCTGTGCTATGTTTTCTTCCCTAGATATCCTTAGTGCTTTCAGATGTGTTCATGAATAGCAGAACTAGGGATGATCAGCTTGACTGATCACTCAGCAATCTTTCCTTTCCTTCTGTTTACTGTCTGAGGCAGAGACTTGTCCTAAAGCTTCCCCTGTAACTCTTGGCATGTATTCTCAGTTTGCAGGCTTGGAAGGGGTGATCACAGCTGTGCTGGATGAGTTTCCACACATCTGGGCCAAGCGCCGGGAGTGGTTTGTGCTCATTGTGGTCATAACGTGTTTCTTTGGATCTTTGATGACCTTAACTTTTGTAAGTACCAGCACACTTGGCTTTGACTTGGCCTCAAAGGCAAGACCATGCTAAAAAATGTTTTCCTTTTGTCATCACAGAGTGCCCTTGTTTGGGCCTAAAGAAGTGTGTAGGGAGATTGCTGTTGGCATTATGACATTTGTCATGGGCTGGGGGATGTCTCTAAGTGGTAGAGTTGAATCCCCAGCACTGGGGATAAAGAAAGTTCATCACCAAGGAGAAGACAAGTTGTGTCTGATAGCATCCATTTGTAGAATCTGTGTATGGTATCTGGACTCTTAACATTTTAATATAGATCCAATTATATTTCAGGCTTGGCAAAATGCTTGGAGAAAAACTAGGATTTACATTTCCAGTCTATTTCCATTCTTTAGGACTGCTTTCAGAATGTTGCCCTGATGTTTTGATCTGCAGAACATTTGAAGGCTGACATATTTTTTTGTGTGCGTGTGCTGCTCCTGGGACTTGAACTAAGGTCCTGGACGTTGTCCCTGAGATTGTTTTTCTCAAGGCTAGTGCTTTTCTATTTGACCCACAGTGCTACATTGAGCTTTTCCTCAGTAGTTTATTGGAGCTAAGAATCTCATGGACTTTCCTGCCTGGGCTGACTTCAAACCAAGATCCTCAGATCTCAGCCTCCTGAGTAGCTAGGATTACAGGATGATCCATTGGCACCTGGCTGAGGCTGGCATCTTATGTGCGTAATGCTACCTAGTCTCCTCTAGAACTTTCAATGATAAAGAAGTCAGACCTTCTTCAGCCATTTTTTTTGATAGCTGAGGTAAATATGGGAAAGTATGTATCAGATAGTATCCACTGAGCTCCTAAGCTTATGTCCTAACTCAGGCAGATTTTGCAGATACACCTCTTTAAACCATGATCCAATGGCTCTGGAGTGTCAGCAGAGTTGACCAGGGGCTATGTAGAACCCAACAGGAGTTGGGATAGAAAGCAAAACTATGATCAAAGCAGTCAATGTGTCTGGCATCATGGGCTCTCCCAGGTTTAGTGTTTATAGGTGGGGAGCTCTCCACAGTGATGGTGGTCACTAATTTTACAAAGTTGAAAATAGATCCAGAGGCCCTTTGGAGTATGCCTCTTAAAACTTGGGAAGAGGAAACAAGAAAGATGTGCTCTGGGGCTGAGTTGCTCAGTGGCGGAGCACTTGCTTCATGTGTACCAGACCCTGGGTCCCATCCTTAGCACCACTAAAAAAATTAAAAAGTACTCCAAGCAAAGGAGTCTGGTGAGGCGAAACCTAGCCCACTTTCAAAGGCCACTCCAAGAGGCAGGCAGTAGAGAACATAAGACTGGGTCCAAGCTGATAATTTCCTAGCATTACTCTCGGTTCAGAAGCTTTTGCAGCCTCGGTGGCAAGTAGAGGCAGTGCCTCAGAGGGTCCATAACCAAATCTGTGATGTGGTTCCCAGGGAGGGGCCTACGTGGTGAAGCTGCTGGAGGAGTATGCCACAGGGCCTGCGGTACTCACTGTCGCGCTTATAGAAGCAGTCGCTGTGTCCTGGTTCTATGGTAAGTTCTGTCTCCTGCCAGTGGAGATCTTTCTATCCTACCTGCAGCTTTTACAGAGAGAAGGACTAATTTCTCAGACAGAAGGAAAGGGCAGTGGACCTCCTGAACTTCCTGAAGGGCCATGCAAAATGCCAGCTGAGTACTTTCTTCAGAATTGTCTTCTTTTTCTCTGTGCTCCATAGAGTAGGTTGCCTGTGCTCTGGGGGGAAGACACTTCTTTCAGGTCTGAAGATGAATGCTTACCAGTAGGGGCAGCTAATGTAGTTTGTTTAGATTATCTACAGTAGTGTTTTAAGATCCAGATGGGCTCTAAGAATCAGAGACAACACGGAATTAGTGAACAGTGAATGCATCTTGAGGTACAATATCCTATTGTTAAGTATGTCAAGTAAGAGCTCCCTCCAGAGCCCTTGAGACAAAGCTTAGTCACTTATCTTCTAACCAAGAGGCAAAAATGTTCTTAGTGTTATCTGTCAGTAAACTCCCCAATTCATGCCTCTAGTCCTGGAATGAGCTTTGATGAGGATGAAACCACCAGGTGTACAGGAAGTAAGCAGATGTGGGCCCACTGAATGAGGTGCCAAGACCCTGTTGGTATGGCTAGGGGAGGAAGGAGGTCATTAAAACAAAGACCACCAGTTCAGAGATGTATCTCTCCAATGGGTGAGGCCAAGTGGCAGAGCACTAGTCTAGCAAGCTCAAGGGCCTGGGCTCATTCCCCAGTGCTAGGAAAAGAAAAATCAATTAGCTCATTCTAAAAATGAATTTGTTTTCCCATTTTCTAGGATAATAAAACAGCTTTAATGTAGTAGTTATTACACATGAACAAGAGGAAAGGGCTCGTGTGAATTGCACATGGGCCTAGTTTTTTTAAAAAGAAATCCTCACCTGGTCAGCAGTTCAGAGAACAAAGTTCAAAGTACAAAATGCACAGCAGATTTGCCCCTAGAAGCCCCGGGGACTGTCAAGGAAACAACCACAGAGCACTTTCTCTTTTGCAGTTTCGTGTCTGTTGGTGGAAGTTCTCACTTCTGGGACAGTAACTTTTTATAGAAGAACCTTGATCTGGTATATGAACAGACAATATTGTGGTTAAAAATTTCCCTTGAAAGTTTACAGAGTAGGGTCAAAGTTGATATCTGCTGGGCTGGCTCATCATTACTAAATAAAATTCAACTCTTTCCTGTAATAGCAGTAAAATCAAGTCTATGCTGAGATCTTAAGACAGTGTAGGCACAATGGGAGGTGGGGGGAACTTCAAGTCTCTTTCCAAATGTCCACCATGAGCTTTGCTTGCTATAAAAGTACATAGCTGTGTGTCCTTGAACCACTCAGGTGAAGACATTTTAGAGCTATTATACATGTTCAGTTCAGGAATTTCAACTGCCTTCCTCCTAGTCATTCCCAGTGCTGATCCCAGTGATTCTGACTAGCTCTGAGAAGTGGGGGAGAATATCACTTAGTGTCTCTTTGGGATGATTTTAGGCATCACTCAGTTCTGCAGTGACGTGAAAGAAATGCTTGGTTTCAGCCCTGGATGGTTCTGGAGGATCTGTTGGGTAGCCATCAGCCCTCTGTTTCTACTGGTGAGTTATTTCTTATCTCCTTTGTGGTCTAGGGAAATAATTGCCTCCAGACACATTTAAAAAATGTATCATATATAACATATATACAGAACATATATACAGACCTGCCCTAAGAACTGCAGGAACTCTTGGGTGAACAACTACAGAGCACCTCCCTTTCATAAGTATAGATCTCAAAGGTGTTTTATAAACTAAGTACTACTATGTAGTCCAAACCATGTCAAGAAACAGAAAGAGGTCAGCACTTCAGAAACTCCTCTTCTGACATCTAATACCTCAGAACAGTCTTGGCTTCAGTCACATTAGTACATCATCACTTATTGCCTAATAATGATAAATACAATTTATGGAACACTAACTACGAGGGTGGACTTTGCTTTAAATGTACTGCTCTTTTAATCCTTATGATAATTCTGTGAAGTAGTTACAATGCTAATACTCTGATTTTACATTTAAGGAAATTGAGGCTTAGTGACATTAAAGTCACATAGCAAGAAAGAACTAAGATAAAGGAGAGATTATGCTGCTCCCGAGAAGAGTCTTAGCAATTTCATGTTTTATTTTCACATACATGCTTTTATTAGCATCCATTATTATCCATTTGTTATACAAGGGGGTTTCACTGAGACATTTCCATGCATACTGTATGCGTCTTCTTGAAGAGGCCCCTCAAGCATAGGTCCAAATCAAAAGGAGAATCCACCTGTTGCCAAAGGACCTGGACCTGGGTTAGTCCATTTGTCAAGGTGTTTTTAATATTCACTTTATCTTACCTGGTATCCACATGAAGACACCTTTGTCCAAAGATGAATAATGCTTGCTGACTGACAGTGTGCACTAAGGTATCCTGGAAAACCCACATTGTATGCATCAACAGAGAAAACTCTTCAGTTGTTTCATTTATCTGTAATTCTTTTTTGGAGGGGATGCTGATCTTTTAGAACCAGAAAGCTTGTGAGAACATCCCACTTTGTGTCAGGACCTCTTTTTACCATATGGCTACCCCTTCTTCCTTTCAAAAGAGCCATTTGCATTGTATTTTGATTTTGAGACAGCTCTTTATATTTTTCGTATCTTTTTGTACTCACATTTCTTCTCATGTCTGTGACAATTCATGTCTCTCCCTACCCCAGAAACTCCTCCTGACTTCCATTTTCCTAGACTTAAGAGGCTTTTAAAATCAAACCAATATATGCACCAAGCAAGACACATTCCCAGGGCACAAGTGTAAACACTAGGCTCCAGAATTTCCTTAAATCTTGGTCTAGTACTTTAGCAGCTTGCAGATACTCTTAAGTAAAATCAACTATTTTGGGTGGGGTCTGTGTTACCTGTGCTGGTCTTGAACTTGAGCCCAGGCAATCCTTCTGCCCCAGTTTCCCTTGCCTGGCTCTATCTATCTATCTATCTATCTATCTATCTATCTATCTATCTATCTATCTATCTATCTATCTATCTGATCTACAAGTTTCAGCAAGAGCTTTGAACTGAATTGCCTGGCTACCATTGCCAGAAGCCAAAGTCCTGACATAAACAGGTTATTATTTCATATTAAAAGCAGTGCTTCTTGATAATCTACTTAAACTCTTTCATTTGTTTTTCAAAGGAAGAAGGGAGCTGGATTAATTCCTTGAGGGTAGAAGCATGTTTGTTTACTTTTGCAGTCCTCACACTGAGAGAATGGTGTCCAGGGCACAGAGTGGGATGAGACAAGTAAGGCACTCACCCGGGGCAAAAAAAAAAAAGCTTAGGGACAGCGCCCAGGCCCTGAGTTCAAACCCCAGGACTGGCACAAAAAAAAGTGTCAAAAAACTGTGTGTATGTGTGGTACTGAGGGTTAAACTCAGAGCCTTGAGTTTGCACAATAGACCCCATAACCACTTGATCCACACCTTTTTTGTGTGTGTTGGCTATCTTCAAAGCAGAGTCTTGCTTTGTGCCAGGCCAGCCTGAGCTGCCATTCTCCTATTGGTGCTTCCCTGTGTGTGCCTGTTATCTCAGTGATAGTATATATAGCCATATAGCCATAGTGTTTTCACTGTTGCTGGAATAACAGGCTTTATGCTCCTGGGCTCAGCCATTAGTGAGATGGAGTCTTAAGAACTTACATGTCTGCACGAGTTTCAAACTATGATCCCCAAATCTCCACTTCTTAAAAAAGTAAAAGATTCTTGATGAACAGTATTTTACCAAATACAGGAACTGACCCTGTACAGGGTCAGTTGTCTCTTGTCTCCCAATAATCTAGCCCTGTCAGATCCATCTCTTATAGATTGTACTAAGGTATTACCTTAGTTTCTGAAATTTTGACTTCTCTTACATATTGTTTCTGAGGTTTCATTTACCTACCTCTCCTACATTCTAGTCCCATGGCTTTGGACATTTTCATTTCTGATAGTGCATTGTCCAAGAGTCCCTTTACCTAGGCAGGACCCATATATGGATTTGGGTATCGGGACATTGCTCATAGTTCCCATGATGTTTGCTTTACTCCCCTCCACATTTATATAACAGATCCCTTGCTCTGGGCTTTTTAAGGCTGCTTTAGGTAAACAATGTGTAACTTACTAAAAATATTCTTTTTCACTGAAGCCAAGTTACAAAAACAGAAAATATTGTGTATGAGCAAGGAGAGGCTGGGCTATGTGAGTGGGATGAAGGGGGTTTCTGAAGTTTGATCCCTCCTTGAGGAAAGTGGATTTTGCACACTTGACATCAAGAGGAACTAAGTTCTGGTGAGGCTGGCTCCTAACCACACCCTATTGTTCTTTGTTCCCACATTACCTTCCTTAGTAGATGAGACTGGGCAGGAGAACGGCTGGCTATTGACCCAACTCCTGTTTCCAAGGCCTCCTTCCAGACTTAGGATAACTCTGCTCAGAATATGAATGTGTGTTGAACCATTTCCCATTTTATTACCTGCAGACAAAGAAAAAAAAGATATAAATAGATGTTTAACCACACAGTTAATTTACATTACTGTCTTTTTTTATGCCCATGAAATAATAAAATTAAATCAATAATGACTTTAGCACAGTGGTAACTAGGCAAAAAACTGATATTTACAATCTCTGGAAACCAAACTGAAACTCATAAATTGGGTGTTGAGAACACATTGTAAAATTTTTCTTCATCAAAAATTTCACATGAAAAGTCTATCAAGCTGCTTTTTTTTTCCTTCCATAATTCCTTTCATGTGGACAGACAGAAGGTCCTTGCTCAGATGCCTCTTTGTAGGCCATCCTTGTTGAAATCCCAGGCTAAGGTGCTGAGTGTAGAAAGCAAAGAGGGGAAGAGACATTCTCAGGAGCTTGAGTCCTCCTGGGATTTGAAGAACCTTATCATCACTCTTGGATATAAAGCACCTTCCATCTGACCAAAGCCAGTCACAATTGAGAAATGCAGAAATATGAAAACAACAGAGATATGAAAACAACAGAATTGGGGCTGGGAAGGTGGCTCAGTGGTAGAGTGCTTGCCTTGCATGCATGAGGCCCTGGGTTCAATTCCTCAGTACCACATAAGCAGAAAAAGCTGGAAATAGCACTGTGGCTCATGGTAGAGTGCTAGCCTTGAGCTAAAGAACTCAGGGACAGCACCCAGGCCCAGAGTTCAGGCCCCACGACTGACAAAAAAAAAAGAATACAAAAGAGTTCATTCCTTTGCTGACCATCCCCCAATGGATACCAGTCTCTCCTTGCCAGAGGTAATGCTAAAGAGGGTGCTGCCATTTCCCTGATTTTAGCTCTAACCTCCTTGCTATAAGCCCTGAGGTATGAGATCAACAGGAAAACCAAGAAAGGCACCTTGGTATAGATGTTGATAATCCTGAATCATCTAGGAGGTATGCCAATAGTATCTCAGCTTTCGCAGATGTTATTTATGGTATGTATCTGCATGGATATAGTGAAGATTTTGTAATGTTTCTTGGAATTTCTTAGTTCATCATTTGCAGTTTTTTGATGAGCCCACCTCAGCTACGACTTTTCCAATATAATTATCCTCACTGGAGTGTCATCCTGGGTTACTGCATAGGAACCTCATCTGTCATCTGTGTCCCCATATACATAACATACCGGCTAATCACCACTCCAGGGACAGTTAAGGAGGTAGGTGCTAGTTAGTCGATATAGTGTAAGAGTGTGTATGGGTATGTGTGTGTGTGTGTTCATGCTGGTAAGTATTTTGGGCACAGACAATTCTTTTATGTCCTATTCAAAAGATTAACATACATGAAACTCACCAGAAGACTCTCAAACTTACACATTTTTGTTCACCTATACAACTAGTGCAGCCATCATTTAAAGCATTTCCCCAGCCATCATTTAAAGCATCTCCCAATTTCAGCGACAAAAGAATGAACTGATCTGTTGGGTTTGCTGAGGCATTCAGTTTGGGCTGTGTTTAGCTTTGCAAACTTAGCAGACAGCCACTTTGCTGACTGCAACATTATTTTGAAAACCATCACAAAATAAAGATGTTACATATAACTTAGTTTTAGTTCAAGACATTGGAATAAATCTTTTGCCAGGATAAAAAGATCATTTCTGTAATGAATGTTTTTTATAAATAATTTAATAATAGGACCTTAAAATTTGTATAAAAATGCATCCTTTCCAAAGAATCTTCCTGTAGATTATCTTATTTGTTATTAAAATACCTTGTGAGGCAAATGGGGACCTGAGGCTGGGAATAATCCTGTTCAAAATGCCCTTATTCAGTGATTTGTCTGAGAAAACACATTACAGAACTTGGGGTCCCAGTGTTCTTTTCACAAGAGTAGTTTCCTTCTAATCTTCATGTCTAGAGTTTGCCATACAGAAATTGGTGCAAAAGGTCAGGGATAGAATAGTAGTCATTTTCCATCCATGCTGCCAGAGTTAGTGGCTCAGCCACTAGATTCACAGCGGTATTATCCTTCACATTAACAGAGTAAAAAAAGGTTCATGTGGCATGTGGCTTGTCTAGTTGTGAAATCTGTAGTGGGGTATTTTTGTAGAAGAGCTCAAAAACAAAGGGCAGAAAGTCAGAAGGTACTCTATAATGCCTGAAAATCCTGGTGATCTAGTCTGTGGGGTATAATAAGCAAAACTCAGACATGAGATAATTACATTAATATTACTCATTTTGTGAAATATGAGAACAATGGTATTCATTTCTTTTTCCAAATAGTTGAAAAGAGTTAATAGTGAAAGAATTAGCTCTCACTAATTTCTAACATGACCTTGTTCTTTACAAAGAGCACTGGGCCTTGGTGTTGCTTGTAATTCACTCTCAAACCCAGAGTTACTAAATTCCTTCTTTCAAGTTGTACTTTATGGCAGCTGAGATGGTCCAGGGTTCAGGGTCTGAGGTGGGACTCTAATTAGGTTAATTATGACACTAATCTTTAGTCAGCTTTTGCAAATTCCTCCAGTTGGTAACAAGGGACTGTTATCCAAAGGTATTTTAAATAACAGAGCTGCAAGATTTTGGCAGTAGAGATAAGAGGGTGGGGCCATGCTCACCATTGGCCACCAGATGGGGAGCAGTGGGTTACCAGAAATGATTTTGCCTGTCAACGAGGACTAAAGGTAGGCCACAGTCAGCCTTGGCGAGTCACTCTCCACTTCTAGGCCTTGGTCTCCTCATATTTAAAAAGTGTTCACTGGACTGCCAGATCTCTTAAAGATTGTTGTAAAAGTGGTAGTCCTATAGAATATCAACAGCTGATCCAGCATGATTTGAACTCTGGGCTTGGGCGCTGTCGCTGTGCTCTTCAGCTCAAGGCAAGCACTCTACTACTTGAGCCACAGTGCCACTTCTGGTTTTCTAGTGGTTAATTGGAGATAAGAGTCTTATGGACTTTCCTGCCCGGGCTGGCTTTGGATCTCGATCCTCAGATCTCAGCCTCCTGAGTAGCAAGGATTACAGGCATGTGCCACTGGTGCCCAGCAGACCCTATTCTTTAAGGAATAAATTCCCAGAAAAAGAAAATAGCCATAAAGACTTGAAGTGTACTATGTAATGTTTTCAATCCAGAATATAAAGTACAGTAGCTCCAGATGCCAGTGGCTCACACCTGTAACAATCAGGAGGCTGAGATCTGAGGATCTCCGTTCAAAGCCAGCTTGGGAAGAAAAGTCCCCGTGAGATCTCCAATAAACTATTAAAAAAAAAAGCTGGAAGTGGCACTGTGGCTCAAGTGGTAGAGTGCTAGCCTTGAGCACAAAGAGGTTCAGGGATGGCACCCAGGCCCTGAGTTCAAACCCCAGTACTAGCAAAAAAAAAGAAAAAGAATTTTAGTAAGGGTTTTTCTTTTCTTTTTAAATTTTTTTTGTGTGTCAGTTATGGGGCTTGAACTCTGGGCCTGGGTGCTGTCCCTCAGCTCTTCAGCTCAAGGCTAGCGCTCTACCACTTGAGCCACAGCTCCATTTCCATTTTTTTCTGCTTATGTGGTGCTGAGGAATCAAACCCAGGGCTTCATGCATGCAAGCACTCTACCACTGAGCCACCTTCCCAGCCCTAGTAAGGGTTTTTCTGGTTTTTTTGGGGGGGGTTGGTCATGGGGCTTGAACTCTGGGCCTGGGCGCTGTCCCTGTGCTCTTCAGCTCAAGGTGAGCGCTCTACCGCTTGAGCCACACTACCACTTCCAGTTTTCTAGTGGTTTATTGGAGATAAGAGTGTCACAGACTTTCCTGCCCGGGTTTTGAATCGTGATCCTCAGATCTCAACCTCCTGAGTAGCTAGGATTACAGGCGTGAGCCACCAGCGCCCAGATAGTAAGGTTTTTTTTAAGCCTCTGCAGAACTGCTATTTTTCCTCCTCCAAATCCATGAGCTGCTTCATACTACTCTGCCAATAAAAATTCTCAACTGCAGGCTGAGACGGTAACTCAGTGGTAGAGTGCTTGCCTCCCATGCATGAGGCCCTGGGTTCGATTCCTCAGTACCACATAAGCAGAAAAAGCCGAAGTGGTGCTGTGGTTCAAGTGGTAGAGCGCTACCCTTGAGCTGAAGAGCTGAGGGACAGCACCCACGCCCAGAGTTCAGGCCCACGACTGACAAAAAAAAAAAAAACTCAACTGCTTCTCTGTGATAGTATTACATCAGTGTGAGACTGCTTCAGAAATGGTGATTTAAATGGTTGCATCTTTCTTCAAATTTCCTGCAGTCTTCATAGGAGGGAGGATTCATTGCATTAGTAATATCCTGGTCATTGTAATGGCACTGGGCCCTGTAGCTGTAGTTTGCATCAGGGCACTAGGAATCAGACCGAGAGATGTGGGGCACAAAATCCAGTATCTACTCTGTTTTCTAAGCCCTGTGTGGCCATGAGGAACCTACTTACTTTATCTAGAAAAAAAATGCTCTTTCTCAAACAGCAAAGACATGCTATAGGGCAGCAGAGGTTCTACTGAAGGCTAATTTCCTTCCATTAGTATCATACGGTATTTTTACTCATCTTATAATTAAATGCCATTGGGAACAAACCCGAAACCCAGCTACTCAGGAGGCAGAGGTAGGAAGATCATGGTCTAGGTTGGTCCAAGCTAAAGTATAAGACCCTATCTAAAATAAAAACTATAAGCAAAAAGACTAGAAGCATGGTTCAAGTGGTACAGCACATTCCTAGCAAGTTTGAGGTCCTAAGTTAAATCCCCAGAACCACAAAAAGTCATTAAAATACTATTTAAGCTTTAACATAATGTGGAAATATTTTTGTAGTTAATATTGGTAACATTGTATTTTCTTCCCAACAGCGCATTATTAAAAGTATTACTCCAGAAACACCAACAGAAATTCCCTGTGGGGACATCCGATTGAATGCTGTGTAACACACACCAGTCCAGCTCTGAAGAGTACAGTCTTCTCCTCCCTAAATGAACAAGTTTCCAGCAAAGCCTGATGATAAAAAGGACCTTCTTCACAGAGACACAGTCCTAGAAGACTATGGTGCCCAGATTTTTGTGGCTTTCAGCCACTTCTTCCATGAAATCTGCCGGACATACTCCTATATTGGACTGTGACCCAGCTGAACTGGCCTGGATATGTGAGGAGGTGGGGAAGGAGGTGATGAAAATACCTACACATCAGTTAAGATTAGTTTAGAATAGTTAGTGAAAGTCTCCTGTATCATTTTTTGGTATGATCATTGTTACCTACCACCCATTTGCTTCACTATCTACAGAAAAATGAAAACAAAACAAAACAGGGATGTTGTCTTGCTAGCCATATATTTTCCGAGTAGCATAGAATACTATAGCTGGAATCTATTAGAACCTTCTAACCCATGTGCTGCTGTGGAATCAGGAAAGATGTAAAAAGCTAAATTGAAAAAATAATGTGTATGTGTGAGCTTTTGTGTATGTGTGTTCTTATTTCAATCCCACTACTTTGGGCCTGTTACAAACTATGACTTTCCTCTATTTTTTCTTACATTAATGAGTTCTATCTACTCAAATGTGCATGTGTGTTATCTGGAGAGGACAATTAACCACAGCATACTATATGCTACCTTTTCCTTTGCCAGTGGCACTACTTCAACCCACACAGCTTCCTTTTTCCCTCTCCTTTCCCCTAAACATCAGGATAAGATTCCACAGGCAAATCTGGCTTGGCTGTGAACTCCTTTTAAGATGGATTGTGAACACCTGAAACTTCAGTGTTTTGCTGGCTGTCTCGTTTAAGCTCTACCTCAAATGACTGAGTTTAACTGTTTAGGTTAATTTATTTTGTGCAGAGGGTTAATCCAGTTTTCTCTTAGCACTGAAGTGTACAGATCCGGTATATGGCCAAAACCAAGAGTCTCAATCGGAATGCCTTGAGTTAGCTTTAAATGACCTTCCCTCCATTTTGCCTTTTCCTGGTGGTCATGATTGTGAGTTCAGATGATTTTCAAGACTGAATATAAGTAAGGCTATTGAGAATGGTGCATTAAATGAGTGACCATTCATTGCATGTAAAGCCCTTAGGAATTCAGATAAGGAAATCTGGCCTTTGCTGGCTTGTAACTATGATGCTTAGGTAAGAGAAGCAAATTTTACCTTGTAGTGTGAGACTTGTCAAACTCTTAAAGAGAATAAACTCAAAGACAAAAGGTCTTAATCTGGGGCTGGGAAGGTGGTTCAGTGGTAGAGCGCTTGCCTTGCATGCATGAAGCCCTGGGTTCGATTCCTCAGCACCACATAAGCAAAAAGAAAAAAGCAGGAAGTGGTGCTGTGGCTCAAGTGGTAGAGTGCTAGCCTTAAGCTGAAGAGCTGAGGGACAGCGCCCAGGCCCAGAGTTCAGGCCCCACGACCGGAACCCCCCCAAAAAAACAAGAAAAGATCTTAATCATCTGGCACCATATCACTTTATCTTTGTTCTTTCCTTCCTGTTGCTTTGCTTAGTTAGCTAAAAAGAGAAGTTGTATCAGTGGCAGTATATAAACATAGAACTATCTTTATAAACATTCATACACTATATTCTTTCAAGATTCTTTCCCCCCACCCTAGTACTGGGGTTTTGAATTCATGGCTTCATACTTGCTAGGAAAGCAGTCTACCATTTGAGCCACCAAGTCCCAGTCCTTTCTTTTTTAGTTTCTCAGATAGTCTCACATTTGCCTTGGTAAACCTCAGCCCACAATCTTCCTACCTCTGCTCCCAAGTATCTTAGGATTCCAGGCATGCACTACCACTCCCAACTTGTATTTGAGATAAGGTCTCACTTTTTCCCAGACTGACCTTGAATCTCCATCCTCTTATATTCACTTCTCAAGTAGCTGGGATAACAGGTGTGTACCACCATTATACATGGCCTAAGATTCCCTTTTATTTGTTTTGGCAGTACTGGAGTTTGATTTCAGGATCTAGACAAGTTTAAGTATACCAAAATTATACATTGAAAAAAAATACCTATTTGTTCTGAATAGTTCACATTTATTTGAACTTATTTATCAATACCACTGTGGGTTTTTAAGGATTAATTTAAGAGGAGATTTAAAGCAGATCTCAAAACAATCTTTTGAAATTTTTATATCTAATGTATCATTTATATACACCTAAAAACTAGAAATGGAATTGAAGTATGAAATTAAGAGGTTAATTTTTTCTTGTGATTTTATGAGTAATACCTAACAAAGATGAGTTTGGAAAGTAGCTCAGTGGTACAAAACTGCTGAGTATAACTGTGGCTCTAGATTCAATCCCAAGCATGTTATGTGGGGGACCAACAAGAAACAGGAAAGTTACAAGGCAAGTATTTCCTGGGCAATTCAGCTATAAGAAGTTGTTTCCTCTATTGATATACAACACAGTCCAAATAATTCATCCTTTAGCGGTAAACTTAGCTAGAATACATGGCCCAAATTCATTGTCCTGGCTTCCTCATCTGCAGATGAATGCAAAGATCTTGACAAGACCATCTTCAACAAAACTCCAAAATCAAGTAATAGAATCACTAAATAAGGCAAAAAGTTACTCACCCTCTTATTCTCACTAAGTGTGCTAGTCTGATCTACCAATCTCAAAGCTGGTGTATGACTTCTCATTTAACTTGCTTTCCTCTCTTAGGAGAGGCTATATTTTTCTGCAATTAGAATCATTTTTTTTCTACTAAGTAGGAAAGATTAACCTTTTTTTTTTTTGGGTCCGGTCGTGGGACCTGAACTCTGGGCCTGGGCGCTGTCCCTCAGCTCTTCAGCTCAAGGCTAGCGCTCTACCACTTGAACCACAGTGCCACTTCTGGCTTTTTTCTTTTTTCTTATGTGGTGCTGAGGAATCGAACCCAGGGCCTCAGGCATGAAGGCAAGTGCTCTACCACTGAGCCCCCTTCCCAGCCCGGAAAGATTAACCTTAAACGTACTATCAGTTGCACCATCAAAGCAAAGCTTAACATTGTGGAATGCGATCAATGACTTACCTTACATTATTTGGTGCTCAGCAACCCAGTGGTACCCTGGTTTCTTTATTAGCATGTCTCTGTATTCATAAACCAACACATAAAAGAAAAAGAATCATTTCCTGAGGAAGAGTTTGAATGTTTTAAATTCATCATGGAGTTCATGTATCTTTTTTTTTTCCTTGCTAGTCCTGGGGCTTGAACTCAGGGCCTGGGCACTTCCCTTGAGCTTCTGTTGCTCAAGGCTAGCACTGTACCACTTAAATCACAGTTCCACTTCTGGCTTTTTTTTGTTTCTGTGATGCTGAGGAATTGAACCCAATGCTTCATGCATGCTAAGAAAGCACTCTACCACTAAGCCATCTTCCCAGCCTGTATTCACGTATCTTAAAGTGCAAGAAGAATTAAAGGAAAGCCCATCAACTAGGAAAACGAGCTTAGAAATTGTTTGAGAAGCCAAGCGCTGGTGGCTCACACCTGTAATCCTAGCTATTCAGGAGTCTGAGACCTGAGGATTGTGGCTCAAAGCCAGCCAGGACAGAAAAGTCTATGAGACTCTTATCTCCAATAAACTACTCAGAAAAAGCTGGAAGTGGTTCTATTGCTCAGGTAGTAGGATGCTAGCCTTGAGCACAAAGAGGCTCAGGGACAGAGCCTAATTCCTGAGTTCAAGCCCAAGGACTAGCACCAAAAAATTTGCTTGAGAAGCATATTGAAAATGAAACTTATAGCAGGGTGTGGTGGCTCACACCTGGATTTACTATCTACTTCAGAGGTGTAATATGGTAAAAGTTAGTGAGAACACATCTCTAAAAGGCTCTTTTGTTGGAAATGATTCACAATATACTTCAATTAGAATGCTGGGTGCAATTTCTGATAAATTCTCACATCATAAAATCTGTATCAAGCTGCTCTGCCACCAATGCTAGTTATTACCTAAAAAAAACATCAAAAGTAGATTTTCTTCACTGGCCAATCAGAGTTTGGAGACATGGTGAATTGGTGGATTATCTCATCAGAAATAAAGTTTAATGTATACTAAGAAAAATTTATTTGCAGGAGAGAATACATGTTATCAGTCCTTCAGTTCTACACCAGTTATAGTAGATAATTCATAACTATAGTAGCTAACTTACAAACACTGACAATCTAAATGACAAGTATTTATCGATAGCTCATCTTTATGCTAAACGATAAGTGAAGTGTATTTGAAACATTACTTTTACCCTCTAAAATTAAAAGTGTACTTTTCCTTGAGTGCTGCTGGGTGTTGGTGGCTCACACCTGTAATCCTAGTTACTCAGGAAGCTGAGATCTGAAGATGGCAGTTTGAAGCCAGTCCAGGCAGGAAAGTCGATGAAACCCTTATCTCCAATTAACTACCAGAAAACTAGAAGTGGTTCTGTGGCTCAAAGTGCTAGAGCGCTAGTCTTGAGCTAAAGAGCTCAGGGACAGTGCCCAGGCCCCAAGTTCAAGCCCCATGGCTGACAAAGAAAAAAAGCAAACAGTGCAATGTTAAATATGGGTATCTGAAAAATAAAGTTAAGGACTTTATCTTTCAATTATTTCTCCAATGGCAATAAATTAATTATTATACTGGGGACTGAACTCAGGACTTCAGGTTTGCTAGAAAGCATTCTTTCAAGCATTTAAATTATAAAGCTAGATGCTAGTGGTTCATGCCTATAATCCTAGCTCCTCAGCAGGCTGAAACCTGAGAATCTGTACCACAAATCTGATCCCAATATTAAGTGTGTAATGTTGCAATTACAGGATTCTCTCTGGGGTCTCATCACATTACTACACTAAGAATCTCTTTTTTCCCCTCTATACTAGGAATTGGACCTAGGGTGTCATGCTTACTAGGTAAATGCTCTACAACTTAGCCAAGCATCCAAGTCCTCTTAGGATTTTGAGATGATTACCAATATTTTTTATGGTTTTAAAAATTAAAAATTCAATATGTAAAATGCTGGATAGTGTGTATGTTATCTGAATTAGTAGACTTAATTAAAACATGAAATAACTCTTAAAGCACAGATCCTAACTACAATATGAAAATAATATTCTTTTCATAGACAAGTACATTCTTTTTTTTTTTTT